CTTCTCATCCAAGTTGTGGAGAGTAGGCAACGGGAAGTATTTCATACATTCCTATCAGCTGAGACTTGGGTAGAGACTTTGAAACGGCGCAAAAATCAATTGTACCTCTCATCAATCACAGGTGAGATATGCAGGATATCATGGATGGCTGAAATCGACGGCCCTTATATCCCAAGGCTATGGATCATCCCACAGGGCACACACCCATGAAATGATCACAGTACGTAACCTACTTACCCACATTATATAAACGAATGATCTAATGTCGGTTAATGAGCGATGGACCGAAGAATCTCTCTCATGAGGTGAATCCAAATCGCGCTTTGTGACTTCTGTGCATTTAGTTTTCTGTTCTCGTTTAAGAAAGCTGAAAATTTCAGGATGGATCCTATGCTTCCATCTCCAAATCGTGGTCGGGGTCATGGACAACGGTCTCCGTGGAGAGGTGGACAACACTGGAGAGGTAAAACTACAGTAAATTTCCTAACAAAGCATGTACCACAAATTTTCGGAGAGCTCTTTAAGGGATGGGAACACGTGGCCAAAGGGCAGATTTTATGGGCTTTTCTCTCATACGAGATTGGTTGAGCGATAGAAGAGTCCTTTGAGCGGGCATGGGGATTAACATGAACAGCGGTTACCACGATGGGAACCTTGCCTTGGAAATAATCCACTTTTTGATCTTCCGCATTTGTTCCCCCCGGTGGAAGGGTCCGCTCTTCTGATATGACGAAGCCACTTCTCCCGTTTGAATGTCTGGTCGGCTGGTCGGGGTGGATTTTGATTGGTTTTTCAAGCCTGTATGCAACGTAATGAGCCAGCGCTGTTTGGGACACCCCTTAGGCCGCTCTCCGGGTAACTCAAACTGAAGGCTTTACATATGCCAGCATTTGTGCGAAGTAGATGACGGTACCATCAAAGGTTTAGAAACAATACAAACTGGAAAGCAATAAGGATCCTGGAAATTGATTGCGTGACGCATCACAAATTTCCTTATAATATGTCCTTATTTCAAAAGAGCTCTGCAAGTTTGCATAAAACCATGAACAGAAACAGGCTAAAACTCTTGTTCTGTATAGTGGATATACTACCAACAATGAATTTAACGGTCAAAAAATAACCGCGACCGCGGGAACGTTCTCTTGCCCTTGAACACGCTTTGATTATTTTTAAAATATGCGAGCCCCAGGCTCATAAAACTCACTGAACTTTTTCTGTATCTGCGACAAACTGCCCAACATCGTCTGTGAAATGTAGAAGGTACCACTTTCCTTTTCTCACGACATTTAATACCTGACTACTAAGTGTAACCGTTTCCATGACACACAATCGCTATGTGGTTTGTGTTCAGGATCGAACACAATTGAGCGACAGCAGTATTCGAGTCCATACCAAGACGTACGCAGTAACCCTAATGGATGGTCCGATCCTCGGTACTCGTTCAAACGTGGGAATCAGCATCAATCCAACCAACGGCATAACAGGCAATCCTTCAGTACTCCTCGTGGCCATGCTTCAGGAACCTACAATAAAAGGCAGTATGATCAACGGTCACAAGTGAGATTTGCTCTATTTCTCTAGCAGTTTTCGTATATAAAGTATCACACTTCCAAACCTAATCTAAGAGAAATTCCACAGGACAAAATAGTAGACAAATAAGACAATCCTTCCTACGGAAGCGGCTATTAGGCGGCTTTTATACTTTGCGACTCAGGAGAATAGGAGATAACCAGATCAGGGGTAAGTATAGATCCGGCGAACTGGGAGTACTAGAGTGTGCCGACAGAGAGGATGAGAGTCAACCTACTCCGGTGGCAAGTGAATTGAAATAGCATTGGAAGAGTACGCCGAAAAAGTAGGCATAGATGATCGTAAAGTATGTACGCCGCACATCTACATTCCGTTTGCAGTCGCTGTAAAGCAACTACATACACTCCCTATCTCTGGGACGGAGTAGGCGTGGCTTTTGAGCATGGCATAGGACGGGTTACTCGTGGGATACTTCAGTTTGGAACAACTGCTATCTTGTTCTTTGTTAGATGTAGACATGATTACGACTGCTCCAAAATGAAAATATTTCACAAAAACCTGGGCCGCAACCATTTCGAAACTAAGTACGCAGCCACGCCTACCCGATCTAAGGGATCTCGAGTGTACTCATACCGCTTCAGGTGACGTTCTGCATTATTGTGCTCTTCACACAGTCTTACCATAACGTGCCACTCCCCCTTGTAGTTTTATGCTTTTGGTTTTCTCTCTCATGTCATGCCCTGCTGTCAACCCTTTGTATTAACTCGGGACGATAACCACGATATGAGAAAAATAAACATGATATGAATTCGAATGATAGTACTTTTACTAAGAAGCATAGAAGAAGCAGTCTCACTTCAGCTCTACGCTTCAGGACCCAAACTCGCGCGTGAATATTGATCCGCATGAGTAAAATCTTTCGTAGAAGGCAGGTCATCGTAGCACAGAGTACGCGAAGGGAGAACTGAATGAATGAGCCGACCGGCGGGATATATGAATGCGGAAGGCAGCGTCCAGACTTCGCGCTCACAGTAGCACGTACGCTCCATCGATATAGGCCGGAACGCAACCATGAACGAGGTATCGATTGGCGTCGGCCGCTTCTGCTTTGAGATAGTATGGCATAGGAGGTACCCTTTGCGTTCACAGTCTGGTTTCTCTTAAGGGGGACTTAGCGAGGACGTGCATGCGTCGACACGCTATCATTGCAGCACTGCTCCAACGCTACAAACGCGAACGCAGGCGCAGACAAGATCGATCGGCGTCGGAAGCTTGTTTCGAGAGAGTATAGGGCAACGAGGGTAGGCGCATACCCTGGTACCCTGCTGCTCTCCCAAAATACCTAGGGCACTCACACTGCCGATCGATAACAGACTGTGTGATTACACAACGCATACCCTCCCCTAACACTCTCTCAGCGCAAGCGGCTAACGACGATGGGTATTTCTCTATGGCGTTTCCGTGTGAGCATTGCAGCAGCTGCAGCGCGTCGGCGCAAAGTCTAAACACTACCTAGAACGCCAGCGTGAATAATTCCCGATGGGACTTATAAAGCATGAGCAATAAGCGGTCTTCTGAAGATTGTCCTTCATCCGTGGAACAGTGGAAAATTAGTGAGGCTGCTCAAAGTTACGTGATCTCCACGCTTCCCCCCCCCTGCTCATTATTCTATTCGAACTTTTAACACAGCATTACACATTGCGCAGTAAGAGGAGTACCGGACTTAGAGGACTAAAACTATGTAGAGGAAGGAGCAAAATGATTGAAAAAGGGTCCCATTTCCTATGGCCCTGCCACGGCACCCTACAGAACAAGCAAATGATGGATAGTGTCAAAGCATAGGAAGGAGCTGAAAGACATATGGCACATCTATAAATGGCGGCTCAACTGCGAAGTGACGTGGTAATTAAGGCAGGGTGATTCATGTTTTAGGTCGTGCTGATCATAGAGCGTTTTGGAGACGAGAGAGCGTAGACAAAGCAGGCAATCTGTGGGGAGGGAATTTTCAACAACCTATAAACCCAAAAAGATGCATTTTTAATGAATTATCAAACTAAGGTACAACACTTACGATTTTTTAGGAGACCGACATCCGTGCTTATGTGATTCCAGCAATGACAGGCAATCCCTGGAAACATCTGGAGGAACAACGGAATACCGAACAAAGTTCGGCGTGATTAGCACAACGACAAACAACTAATGTAATAAACATCTGTCGCCTCTCATGTACATCACATGCGTACGTTAAAAAAATAATTACAATCCATAAGACTTTCAAGAGAAAGTGGTTGTTTTGGGAGTGTAAGTAAGACTTCTCGCTTACAATGGACTATTTGTTTATAAGTTTTATATAATTTAATAAACAACATCACTCCCAATGAATGCGTTACTCGTGAATAAGTACAAACGTAATAGACACAAGCAAAGCCGGCTGACATCATAGTATACATGAAGAGAGGGTTAGATGCCGACAGACTGACCAGTGATTCCGCAGCAGCCACCTGAAACAGATCAGATGAAGTTTATCAGAAAATGTCAATACATTCATGGGCGAAGCCTCTGAAGTGTGTCACTGTCAAATCAAAAATCAATCAGGAATCAAAAATCAAGCCAGTAACCAGTAATGACCGGTAACCAAAAAAACTCAGTAACCAAAAATTGCCTGGTTTCAAACGGTGCTGAAGTGGAAAATGACAGATCACAAGAGCGAAAAATAGCAAAAGTAAAAGTGGATAAGTCTCGAGAAGTCATTAGAGGGCAATTCATAAAAAAACGAGCGCTTCCGCAATAATCGAGCGTGTAGAAGACAAGTGTAGCGAAGATGGATAACCACGAAGACCGCGTTCAAATTTGCAATCGCGCGACTGGATTGAGCGGCGTAGTCGCGCGATCGCATAAGTTTGTTCCGAGTGACGGACGAGACCCTAGCATGCAAGCCAAGACTCTATACTGCCGATCTGCACCATTTTTGAAAAGTGGGCGGGGCTTCTTCACAGTGGGCGGGGCTTCACGTAGCAGTCCAAAAATGCAAAAATTTTGAAAAATATCAAAATTCCGCAAAAAGCAAGTGGGCGTGGTCAAGGGGGCGGAGCCTAGATCGCCAAACCCTT